ATCCTGTATTTCTTAGTCTAGTCGCTGCTGCTGCATGCGGCTTTTGATAGTGGCTTGATGGTGTTTTGGCAATTGCACTGTGGTATGGGTTGATGGTGTTGCAAGGCAGTGAGAACAATTGTGCGGTTGCCAGTTAGCTAATAGATAATATGGTTGCCGCTACAGCAACAGCATCCACAGTGGCGTAGCTGCAACCGTATAATTGCTTCACTGCCTTGCACCACCATCATACCACATTTGCTGCAATTGCCTAGATAACACCAAGTCTCCATCAACAGTTAGCATCTATGGTTGCTGCTACAGCAACAGCATTCACAGTGGCGTATCTGCAACCGCACATTTGCTCTCACTGACTTGCAACGCCACCAACCATAGCTGTTGTTATTGCAACTCCAGCCCCACAAAGCTCTACCATTAACAACACTCAGCAGCTATGGTTGTATAACGTCCAGCAATCATGGTAGCGCATGCAACACCGCCGGTCATACCAGTCGCAGTTGCTACGGCTGCCCAGCTTCCAAAGCACTAACATCAACAATACTTGTTGGGCCCTCCACGAATCCCATGACGGCTGCACCATTTTAGGCCAAAAAAAAAGAACTTGGTATTATCCTTTTACAAAGGCCAACAACTTCTCCTTTATATATGTGTGTATTAATTGAAAGAGTAAAAGCTCCAGGGCTATTTTATGCAAGTTGTTATTTATAGCTTACAAAAGATGTTATATCTAAAGGTTCTAGCAACAAAAAGGATTCGTATTCTGGCTTTTTTTTTGCGCAAAAAAATCTTCTTGGAGTACTTTCGTGGCGTTAGCAAGATATTCGGTAAAACAATCTCATAGCTTAGGGTCACCTTAACTTCTTCGTTGTTCCAAACTGACTCGAGTTTTAATCGACTAGACAGCACATGTTCGTGTAATCTTGCTCACTAGGTAAATTTTTCCATTGGCCTGCATGTACTTTGAGACGCCTTAATTTATGTAGATTGGCTATTGAGCATTACTCTTAATGCAGAAAGCTTAATACCCTTTCTTATGAGCTTGTCTACGCCTCTCTAATTCTATTGATAAATCTTCTCCTCATGTTTCTCCCCGTTGATATTATTAGGTTGTACCATAATTATTTACCGTTTTTAATGTAACCGTCGCCATTTTGTATCTTTTTTCAACCTGAAGTTTCTTGAGTAATCATTCAACAGAGCAAAGCAAGCTCTATAAGACGGCTACCAAGAGTCCGCCCAATTCGTATTTCACGTGAAGTTCTGAGCTCAAATGTGGTAGCAGTCAAAAACGAACTTTTCGGGATAAAATCGTATCTCTGCCCCAAAAAATCTTAAAAACTCCCCACTTATCCTAGCATATGCTTGACACATCGAGCATTCAACAGTACACTTTCCGTATTTTTTTTCATGGCTAGAAATAAAGTAAAAATTAAATGGAGTAAAATGGCAAACTCCGCCCTTAGACGTTCTGAGCTCCTCCCACGCACGTGATCATATAACTCATACATACAGAAGTACGATCATGTTTTTGTGCCCTTTGTAGGGGCCCCAGTTCTCGAGGAATGCTGATGTTTAGAGTAAAAACGGTAAATTATTATGGGACACCCTAATAGATCGTACTACATTTTGATAACTAAAAACCAAGAGCATTGGATGAAAGAAAATCTCCAAAAATTGCTTCAAAGACCTTTTCTTTTTTTTTTGGAATCTGGAAGGTTATAGCTTTTCGATATGTATACGTCAGACACAAGAAAATAGATTTAAATTATCTGAAAAAAATTTTTCGAATTTTCAATTGCAAATTTTTAACTCGCGTTGCTAGATCCTCAACTCCCGAACTGCCCTCATGTCCTTTGGCAAGTTCTATAGGAAATTTGATAATGTGAAAAAGAAAATGAGGGAATTTTCAGTGGGGAAAGGAAAAAATGAAGGATGAAGTGTTGTCACAATATTGTCTTTTTGTGTAGTACCCAGGTTCGTAAAATGAGAAACATGCCAATAGATAGCCCTTTTCCTTCTCATGCATGCCAAATATAAAACTCCAAATTTCCAGAGTTTCGAAGATAGATGAAGAAAGTATAACAAAATCCGTTACAACTTAATATTATTACCATTCCTCGTGGCCCTCTCGCTGATCGAATTTCTAGTATTTGAAAAAGGCTGCAGCTTTGACAGTGACCAAATGATATCTGTTGAGCCGTAATAACTATCAAGTGTCATGTATAACGTGTGAGATGTAAGATCTACATTTATGAGAGGAAACTTTATGTTGAGCATCTACCACCACTGTGACATCTTATTGTATCATCAGAGATATGGAGCTCAATACAACGGTCTTACTACACTATCAATGTTGGAAGCAGAGTTACAATTACAGTTATACAATTTATCCTAAAATAACAGTTGATGGGGAGGAAAAGTTAGTTCCACGACCATACACAGTTCATAGCTGAGTGATGTCGACACCGGAAAATGAGTTAATGATGCTTCTTCATGAAAAAGTCCATAGCACCAAAGCCATAAGGTAATATAATGTCAGTAATAAGATGCGTCTATGTATCTGGTTTTATTCAGGGTTTGTGACACTTTTGCATTTGTGAGACTTACTATGCATGTCGCGGCAGAACCATTTCTGTTTTCGCAGTCTCCGACATGTCTTGGCAGAATGGTGGGCACGGGCACGACGAAAGAGCTGACGTTTCGCAGCAGTATCATATATATATCATATATGTCGAGAATTATGTCGTGTCTTTATTCTCTTCACTCTTTGCTAGGCAAAATGCCAGCTGTGCGCTAGCAGAGCCTCCAGCGATGTGGACGCTCCACTCGAAGTCTTTCACCTATTCCGTGTTGAAACAGACTTTAGGGCGCAATCCCCTATCATTGCGGACCAGCTCCACTCGGATGATTTGCTGATCCATTGGGAATTCGCAACCTTTCATCTTTTACGAATAAAAGTGTTTTGTGCGTATGCGGTTGAAGTGACTCCTTTACACGCCGAATAGTGAAGGTGCGAAACACGCACTTCACTGCTATCATGTTTGTTTTCTTTTTAGTTTGCACAGGTGAAGTGAGGCACTTCAAGAGAGAATAGTCCACATATGTACCCACTTTAACAACAGGATACTATTTACAAGAGTCATTTTTCGTTTATCAATTGGTAGCATCAATCTTTGCTTAGCTTAAAGGTGTTCACTAAATGCGAGGGCCTTGTTATGTAATCACAGAGTTGTAAGCCCTACTATTTTGGAAATAAATCATCTCAAGTTTGGCCACTCAACTACTGAGGACTGAATACAATATGTGCGCTGCGGTCACTTCCGCCTGCACGGCGCTCCGACATCAATAGAGGATTGTTCCAAACCGTTTGCACATATGGTTACTCGCATATCCTTTCATAACATCATATTTATCATATATTGTCAAATTATCATGATCTGCATGGCAGTTGAGTTCCGTAAGATACTTTGAACTCTCCTTTTTCTAGTTATCATCATCACAGCTCTCCATTACGAGCTTTGCAACAGACTTTTATGTCTGCAAGCTGCACTCTTTTTTCTTCAACTGAATTGTTCGAGCGCTTTTTCATCATTATCTAATAAGTTTCAATTGATGTTTATACAAGAATGCTTTATCTGTCCTCAAACATGCTTGCATAACTTCAAGAATTGTTCTAACAGTGAATCACTATCATTTTTGCTGTGGCAGAACATGATTTGTTTTCTGAGGGTCATATGAATCAGCAAATCAAGATGGTTTGTCAGATGAAGTTCTGTTGGCAGTTTAAAATTACGCAAACCAAAGGTGGATTACTTAGTATTGAAACACCTATGACAAGGGCATCGTACGTTTCTCCCTCTCCTCAGAGTAGTTTATCTCAATTTTTGCAATGCACTCGATTGTTAAAGCCCATAGTTGAGTTGTCATTCTGAAGCGACCAAGTCAGTTTTCTCGCTGCCGCGATTTAAGATAGCTGAGCTTGTAATTGATTCCTCTATATATTAAGGCTTCAATATACTCTTCCTCGTACACTTCACAGTTCATGTCTACATTTGCAAGTGCTAACCTTGACCAGATGAGTGTGAACAAGTGTTTTGAAGTTGAGTTGTACTTATCGTTTTATTTTTACTTCGTTTCTCGAAGGGACTGCATATGTAGTAAACAGGTTTCTTTTTGACTCACAGTTACTAATGCTTTTCAAATTACTCATTGCTGAATGTTCCGGACGATTATTAGCAAGCATTATTTATTACCACATGAACGTGGTTTATCTCATTGCTTTGACTATCTATTTGTGTGTTTCAATTTATGTTTTCTGAGATTGGTTAAACATTGGATCTAATTTTGGTTTTTTGAAATGATAAGTGCAATTCCTACTTCGGTTATGTTCTAGTTCGGTTCTATGAGACTCTCATTCGCCAGCGTTTCCTACACAAGCCACAAAATGTTGAGCTCACCTTCTAGCTAGTGATAAAATCTGTTCTAATCTCACCTTCGCCCTCCTTTTCTTTATAATATGCTTTTTGTATCCATGCGTGATTCTCTTCCATACATCTTACTTGCGTTGCATTGTTTTCAAGTCCTTCTTCTCAGTTGTAGCATTTGTAAGCTATTTTGTTTCAGATCTTGCGGCAGATATATAGTTCCAGCAACACCTTTCGAAATGTGTTTGTTCTGATGATCGAGCGATAATTGCAATTGTTGGATTCCTTTGGACACAACTTTCCGTGTTTCTTCCTTTTGAACCTAATGTAGAATTTCTCATTACTTTGTATGATTTGCCCACCTGTTTTCATGCGTCGTCACTTGATGTTACCCCTCTTTTGTGTCATCTTCGATATGTCTCAATTACAAGGTTTCCTTTTCCTGCCAAAAATTGTAATTTTTGTACCGAGATGATCGCTGTAAAAACATGTGTGCGCATGCTAGGCAGTGGTTCATCATATAAACGAGCCCCTATGCTTACTCAACCATCAACTCTAATGAATAGGTGAATGTTTAGAAGCTCTGGGGGCGAATGGCAACAAGTGATGAAGAGCGGGTACAGTTGGATCCAGGCGATGGTGATGCTGGAGTGGAAGTCTATCCCAGAGTCGTCTACTCCAAAGGGAGCACAAACAGGTTTCGTATACGGTTATGCTTTTTTATGTTGATTCGGAGGGTTTTTTGCGCTCTACTGCCATATGAATGACATATTGTCTTGATTGTTGTTTTGATGAATGCTTGATCTCTGCGAGGAAAGTTTTCTTTTGCTGCTCTTGTGATCAAAATCGGACGTGGAAATTGGATAAGCTTCTGATAAAGGTGGTGGAAATTAGTGCACAATTTTGAAACTTCAAATAGGAATTTTTTTCGGGTAATTATCAGTCTGCTAGATCTTAATTCGCTTTGAAGGCTACGTTTTTGAGCCTGCTTCAGCTTTGACACTGCTACTTTCCTTATCGACTTACTCACTAGATAATATTACTTTGCTCAGAATTAAGTGGCAATTTAGCACCTACTCCTTCTTTGCATTTCCCTGACATTTCTTGCCTCATGTTCTCACAGTATCTCTGACGTTTGCCGGTAATGAAAACTGTGTAATCGGCGCGTAATTCATTTTGACACAAGCTGCCTTGAACTGTCTGTTGTTGATTTTTGGCTGAGGATACTCAACATGCTGCACGGCGAAAAATTCTGGGTGTTGTTTAGAGATGCTGGAAGTGTTGACTCACTTTTGTTTCGTGCTCTTCGACTCAGATGTTTCTTTTCTTTATGTTCGAGGACTTGCTATTATTGACGTCTGTTTTCCAACAAAAGCAGCACTACACTGAGTCCTTATCTTGCATGTAGCTTTCTTCATTGCCTTTTTTTTAGTTCATAGCGTATCCAAGTAGCTTCTCAGCGGACTTTCTTATTTACATTGAATTGTTTGGATGTGGCGAAGCAAACAATGGGATGTGGTAAAGTATAACAATTGAATTTGTCGCACATCTTCCTTTCAGTGCACTATCTTACACTGCTGTGTTTAGTCTAGAATCTATCGAAGTGCGTTTTGTTTACTGGTTAGTGCTTCATGCTGTCTTTGATGGTGGTATCTTTGATTAAGTTGAGTGTCTAACAACTTGGAAGCTACTGTAAGTGCCTGAGTATCGATTCTACAAATGTCCCCACATCTCTGTGGTTCAGCGCTCGTTCAGAATACCTCACTGATTTGTTAGAAAAGATATTTGGGTTGTTATTTCGTTTCTAGTATGTGCCGCTATATGGGTTTTGCGCTAAACGAATAAGATTCTCAAATATCACTCCTTAATTCAATGAATCAACTCATATTGCTGCGCTTTCCCTTTTGAGTCAAAACGCTGAATCGAATCAAACGATAACGGTTCGGGGATCGGACATTACCTACCCGAAAGATTGCCGCAACATAACCATAGGGGGTCGTGCGGTGTCGTCAACGTTAATAAGAACTGTATACAGAACTGATTTCTACACACAGTAAACCCCGTTCCATCCATAACGCATGAACTCGCAATCAAGCTGCAATTTCAAATTGAAACTTCAATATCTATGTATGTCCCATCAAAGTGAAAAGTGGTAATTAAGGGTTTTCTGAGTTATCCACAAAATTAGCAGCTCTGTTTTTGAAGTAGTTCTTACAATAGACTTCATTGTGAATTTCGGAAGACTGAGAAATAAACGAAAAAAATCTGCTTCAATTATGAAAGCTGGCTGAATCCGAATTCTATCAAACTATTGATTGTAAATATAATTTACTAAACAAAAAATAAACCAATACTCTAAATTTGAAAATGACTCCGGACTGATCAGCTCTGCGTAAGGTGCTAATTATGTTGCTGACAGCTCATGATACCGAAGGTACGCTGCGGCAAGTCTTTTGGGTAAGTAAGTTCCCTCACCCTAACGGTTCCTCATAGGCTTGGATGGGGGAGGGGAGGGGGCTAGTGGAGCACACTCAAGTAAACTGGCTGCCTCCCGCAATGTGATTCTGGCGTTGAATCGCTGCGTATCTTATATTATTACATAGGCTTAGAAGTCTTTGTCCAGGCAACGTCATTCATTTTTCTGCGCATAAGTCGTAGTGAAAAAAGGGAAAAATAAGTGGGGTATAGCTTTTTGGGACATCTTATCTTAGCGATGAAGCCAACAGCTAAAGGGCCGGGCATACTCCAAGCGATTTCATCGCCTCGTGATTCTCCTAACAAGACAACTGTTACGAGTTCTTTGCATGTCCATTTGCATTTCGGTTGTGATAGTTATTGGTAATTAGTCAAGTCGGAGAACTGCCACAACCGAGATGCAAAATGAACAGCATGCAATGGAACTCGTAGCAGTTTCTTGTTAGGAGAATCGCGTGGCGATGAATTCGCGGGATGTATGCGGCCCTTAGGCCTAAGGCATACCTTGCGCGATTCAGCTAAATCGCGGCGTTCACGCGACTGGCAGTTTGCCAGATGTCTCCGAATTTATCGTGCGCGGTCCTCCAATACATGAGCGTGTAGCTTTTGTAATTTGTTGCAAACCGATCAAGTCCTACCTTAACAAAGCGCTCTGACGACGAATTATGAACAGTCGTTCCGGCACCAAATCGTGCAGCGACTAGAATCGCGCAAGGTATGCCTTAGGCCTTAGGTAATAAGTGGTGGTGTCTTATCTACCCATAACTCTCTCAGATTCAACAAACACAAATAGTACGGAAATTCCATTATAGCGAAATGTATTTTATATATTTCTCTATTTGCTGTGGCCAATTCATATTAAGTTAATTGCGTTCCTTCTGTGTCATCCATCTGTGAACCCGCTTATAGCTACTTTCCACTATAGAGTAGTTAGATATCGCAGACCAGGAGTACAGTACCCGTCAGAGCATGTTTAATTATCATTCTCGAAAGAAATCTTACATACTGAGCATCGTTCAAGTGTGGACCTCGTTCCAACCTCCAAAATCCGAAGTCGCTGTTGGTCCCTCTGCGAATGGTGCAAAAAAGTTATTCTCCCTCTGTGTTGCATTGTTTTACTGCCCTTGCTCCTCTGAAAATTTGGGAGTGAACTCTGCTGTTGCTGGGACGTCGTTATCGTCACTGACAGTAGATGTCTGCGTCGCTTGTATACTCGCTTTGCACGATAAGCAAGCATTGATATGCGCTCCGGATGGTGTCGGCCTTTCCGCGGCAAGAACTCACGCGACACCGCCCTCGCTCGTTCCCTCATTCAGCCAAACTCCTCTGCTCGGCAAAGGAGCAACACAGAGCACTGAGCAGCGGCGACGTCTAGCGAACGCTATTTCTAGAGAAGAGCCGGCCGCCAGAGGAAGGCTGCCGTGTCCGCCTCGTCCACGTACGAACGCCGAGCACGTAGAGAGCATCGTTGCACCGTCAACAAGTAAACACGTTGTTTATACTTGGCGCGAATTGCGCATTCGTTTCAGTGCGAGATGGTAGCTAGTCATATCGCTTTGGTGCCGCGCTGCCCTGCCCTCAGCCCCATTGGCGATGGCGTCATGGAAAAGGATTCCAGGCGGCAGCGTGCCCCTCCCTCAGCAGCACTTGTTTTCGATTATTTCAACGAACGCCGAAATCCAGCCGGTCCCCTTCTCGCGCAAGGATGTCGCAGCTGCACTGACATACCCTCTTAAGTTCCATTTTAGCATAGCAACTCTCCGATCTGTCGCTGATTTGTTGAAGTTCTTTTGACGCTGTTTCAATAACAAGATCAGGCATTTGATCCTCCGCAGTATATTCGATATTGTCCGATGACGGAGAAAGCTGTAGTACTGAGAATGACGATTCGAAGATTTTTTTGAGCTTTTTCTTTCTATCTCAGAAGCACTGTGTCAGCGATTTCTTGTCCTTTCCAACATGTTAACTCGAATTCATGAGATATTTCTCTCTAATCTTATAAGCTGTGTACATTCACTGTATCTTTTACCATTCACATAATGAAGGCAGAGCGGTAATTACTCCTCCTTTAGCCTCTCAGCCACCTCATGCTAGGCAAACGCGATTAAGAAAAGACTACGCAGCATTTTCGTGCATCGAAGCTCTAACAAATTTGTTCAAGCGTAAATGTTTAGCTCGCATGACTACCTATGGTGCAATTATATGATGACATCATTTTCGAGTTTTTCCCAGGACATTCGTTTACTCATTGTAATTACATTTATTAACACCGTCATCGCTCAATATAGTTTTTGTTCGTTTGGCTTTATGTACATTTGAGATATTCATTTTTTTTACGATGATATTGAGCATTTCTCATCACTCATCCCTTAGACAGGGAGTAAGGACTCGCGACTGGGGTAGATTCTGATATAGAGTGTTACACATACATACACAACTTCAGCATATGACAATAATCAGTTGTGTAGCTGATTTGTGACTCAGATCTTTTTCATAATACAGAATTTTTTGCTCCAATATACACCCTTTGCGGTATGAATAAGCACATGATAGCTTGCATAAGCAAAGTGCATAGTCATTTAGCATGGCCACGGATCCGGCAGAAAGGTACACCCACGGCGGAGCGAAGAAGACAATGACACGTTACGTTTCGTCGTTAAAAAATATGGTTCCCATTCGAAAAGGGAAGAGGTGTGTCAAATGTGTTGCTGCACTTTTGCCTTCTTTTTTTTCCTCGTATTTGCAGCTTCTCATTTACTGACTTTTAAGAAGCGGTGTCAAAGGTGGAGCTAAAATTGATGAATCGGGCCTATTTTCATTCGTCACGTACAGTTGGGTTTTCGAGTATCTCTACTCGGCATTCAAAGGGAAACTAGACAAAGATCAAGTATGGAATTGCAGTATCTATGATGCCAGCAATGTGAATATGGCTAGGTGAGTACAGATAATGCAAGACTTTTAGTACAACCTTTTCTCTTTTCATGCGAGATCTGAAAGTTGCATTTTATTGATGTATTTAATCTTTTTCTTTTGTTTTTCCACTTTGCTCTTTCGTTTCTTTCGTATGATATTTGTTTATCAAGAATGGGCTGAAGAATGTGTTACTATCTTAGCAGCGGTGGCAGCGCGCTTTATCACTGCAGGTGTCAATATGATGCAAGAATGACGTTAAATGCAGTGCAACGATTTTCTGCCTATTACCTTCAGGAGATTGACCACTTACTCGTACTGTAATGAACTGAACTAGTAATAATCTAAGCGAGGGCTTTGAATTTATGTTACTGGTCAAATACGTGAGAAATTTGAGCTGAGTCTACTTTATAAAAAGAAAGTGCTGTGAGGTTTTTTTAATAAGGTATTGGGAGTTTTTCGTAATCACCTGGCTTTTTATTGCGTTATCGGTCGACCAGATAGTAGAGACGGGACACCTTACATCAATGTGTCATGTAATGTCTGCTTAGTCCAGTTCAAGTTGGAGGGACTTAATCGAAATTCACCGGTATTCTATCTTGCTGCTAGCCCGAACAGAGAAAGAGAAGAGGGTTGCGTGATCAATATAAGCTAAGACTTTATTTTCTAGCGTGTGCTGCAATTATAAGCCGACCTTACCTGTCTGAAATTTGAGAAGAAAGCACCGGAAATTCAATAGTTGGCCATACCAAATACATAATAACAAGTGGTCTCAATTCCTAAAAAGTTAAATGATGTTGCCAAAATGATGGGATTTTACATGCAACCCTTTTTCAGTCCATTCTTATATTCATGCATAGTTTGATCTGAATCGATAGAACCGACTTCAGAATGGAAGTTCTTTGGGAAGAAGAATTGAAACGAAGTCCTCAAAGTCCTTCGCTTTTTCGTGCTTTATTTCGATTCATCAAAACTCGATTATGGGCTGCTTGTGGCGTATTTCTTTTTTGCTTGATTTTTGGATTCATTGGTCCAACTTGTCTAATACGAGGTGTGCTTTTTCTTTCCTTTTCACTCATTATCACACATAAGCAAATGAAAGTTAAGGTCTTGTGCAATTTGCCGAACGCCCACCGATGAAAGGTGAACCCGTGAATTATCGTCTAGGCATCTCTCTAGTTGTCGCTATCACAATTGTAAGTACTGTTTGCTTTCATTTACATTTTGCTCAACTTGATATTTGCTACCTTTGGGAGGTAATGCAATCAACTTGTGCTTTTGAATAACCCTTTGCAGAACATTTTTTTGTTATTTTTTAATGCTTACTCTGTAGCAACATTGAGGACATTTGTACAGTCATCCTGTGCTCCAGCAGTACCGCTTTGTTTAGGCATCCTAGGCAATGGTACATGTAATTACTTTGTTGTACCTGTAAAAAGATTTGAAATGATTTGCTAGCATATATAATACACAAATTTCAGGTAGAAATGGCTCGTGTTTTGTCATACGGTGCGACCTGGGCTGTTTCCTACCGTACAGGAATACGAGTTCGAGGAGCACTTTTAGGTCTTTTATTCAAGCGTCTTTTGGGCTCTCGAAATCTGGGCAAAAAGAGTGCGGCGGAGGTAAGTCTGCTACTGACACTTTCTCAGAAGTCCACATGAATTACTTAAGGTTGTAAACATGTTTGCCAATGATGGCCAGCGCTTGTTTGATGCTGTAACATTTGCGCCTCTGGTGATTGTTGGGCCGCTGGTACTCATCGGTGAGTCAATTTAATACTGTATTTTGCGTTTGTTTCTTACTCTACACTCAGGCGGAGTGGCATATCTACTGGCTGTCGTTGGACGCTGGTCATTGTTGGGAATTCTTGTTTTCTTCGTTTTTGACGTTATTCAGGTATATTCTTTGGTATTTTGAAGTGTGTGTGATTTTTACCAGTCGAGCTCGATTGTGTATTTGCAGTATGGACTGGGAAAGACAATGGTGCGTTGTCGTAATAATGCCATAGAAAAGACAGAAAAACGCATTAACCTCATGGGAGAGATTATTCGATGCATTCGAATCATCAAGATAAATTGCATGGAAGAAAGTTTTTCCAAACGAGTTGAACGTAAGCGTATTTGTTCGTCCACCTCATCATTTTCATCTCCGTGCATGCTTTTTCAGAAATGCGTCATGCTGAAAAAGTAGACATACAAACTGCTGGATACGCGCAATCACTTGCTATCGCCTGCGGCCCTGTTGTTCCTGTTGTCGCTGCTGTTCTCACTTTTTTAGGTGTTGTATTGTCTGGAAATGATCTCTTGGCTAGCGATGTGAGTGCATGTTTTAGTTGTTGAATCTTTATTATCGAAGTTATCCGTGTTTTTGGCTATTTTCCAATTTTGAGGCATTCTCTGCTATCACAGTATTTTTCGTTATGTTATTTGGTATAAGGATGATACCCTATGGAAGCAGGTATCTTGCTGAGGCTGTAGTGGCAATCCGAAGAATACAGGAAATCTTACTGGTCAGGTTCTTCGAAGTAATTTCGCTTTTCATGTGTACTTATAGTTTTTCCGATTTAAGTATGAACAGTGGGAGACTGTACAGCCGCATGCCCAGGACCAAAGCGTAGCAGTTCGTTTCCGTAATAGTACTTTCATGTGGAACCCGCCCATTAGTCAGTTACTTTCCTTCACCTGGACCATTAAGCTTGTGCATTTGAATATACTTAGGCGAGCCTACATCGACGCCCACGGAAGCGACTCCTGTAAATACACAACAATCTGCATTCAGTTTGGATAATATATCTCTGATCATAAGGAAAAAAGAATTGACGGGAGTTTGTGGAGCAGTGGGAAGCGGAAAGAGCGCGTTGCTCAATAGTATAATTGGACATGTAAGCACTTCCAATTACATTTGAAGCATTTTTCCTACACCCTGATATTAACAGATGTTCACCGTTGCTGGTGATGTTGAAGTGGGTGGTAGTTTTGCATACGTGCCTCAGACGCCTTGGATTCAAAATGCTACTGTTCAAGAAAACATTCTTTTTGGATCGGTCATGAACTCCCAACGCTATTATAAGGTTGCTGAAGAGACAAGTCACTCATTCCTCTACTGAAGCTGAAGATTCTTTAGGCTATGAGCAGCTGCCAGCTTACAAAGGACATGGAGTCGCTTGCTGCAGGTGATCAAACAGAGGTTTGTATGGACTGTGTCTTATATAATCAAGTCTTACGCTCCCCAAATTAGATTGGTGAACGCGGCGTCACTCTTTCTGGTGGACAGAAAGCTCGTGTTTCGTTGGCTCGCGCAATATTCGCTCATAGAGACATATATCTTCTGGATGATATATTCTCTAGTCTCGACAAGAAGGTTTACTTGCCCTTTTATGAATTGGATTTGCACATTATTGACACAATTAAGGTCGCCGAGAAAATTTTTGAGAATGCCGTTCGTGACGTCCTGTCCAGCAAAACTGTCATTTTGGTCACTACAGATCCACAGGTTGGTTCAATCAGATGAAGTGTAGCTTTCATGAACATGAACTCGTTTTAGCGTTTGGCGAAATGTGACCGAGTTGTGTTCATGGATAGCGGCAGAGTTGTTGCGCATGGGTCGCATGAAGAATTGATGGTGACATGCACTTTGTACAAGGAGTATTGCGAAAGCATTCATGTTCATGGTAGGAATAATTGTTGATTCTGTGCTTCCGCTCGCAAAGAAAGTGCTGCGGATACGTTTAGCTTTTTGGAAATTGTTTTTTGGGTTAGTGAAACCGGCGCTTTCACAGAGGAATAATTTTGGGGTTGTGAGAGCCGGCAGTGCTGTCAGAAAGGTTCAACTTTTGATCTGTATCTATTACGCCCAGAAATTATCGGACCTGCACAGTCTCTCCCGCTCCCAATCAAGCTAAAAATGGCATGGGAGTTCGTGTAGCGAATGTTTTGCGCAACGTCTACGGCTAGCCTGTCTGCTCTGTCAGTCTCTTCGCTCTCTCCGACAGCGCATACGCAGCGCAAACCCCTAGTCCTGCGAGTGCGCAGATTTACGCGCCAACGGTTCGGCCTGATCACGATTAGGACAGACTGTAGGTGGTTTGATGACTTTTTGTAAACGTTCATACCAGAGCTTGTAAATTAGGCTGCAACGGAAAGTGAAACAGCATTGCATAGTGTTGAAGTGTAAAATTGAATTCTGTCTTCTATTTGGAGTTTAGAAGAAACGTCCCATTCTCTATTCACGTTATTCACTTTCTACTTCAGAAGAGATATCCACACATGAAAGTATCCTGGACAATTCCAATCAAGAAGGACGAGTTTCGTCGCTTTCGGATGATGACATCGATAAAGTATGTTCGCCGTCTTACCGCATTTACATACGCTGCCAATTTTACATTTTTTTGAATCTGTTACATGTTTCATCAGTGACGGTACTGTTTTTGACAGTTCGGAATCATGAAATTTTGAAGTGGAGGTTTCGTGAATTTTGTTTGGACGAGGAATGCTCCCATACAAAGGTGTATTTTTGTGCGAGGATGGCTCTTCAACACTTATAAGCAAGTAATATGCACAGTAACGTTCAAGGGAAAAGCTTGTGCTTTTTCTTCTTTTTCCATCTAAGAAATATAGTGTGAATGCGGCCTTGCAAGATGATTTTATTCTCGACATGCACTCTTGCTGCAGAATTCGAAAAAACAAAACAAAAACCCAAGGTTGGCAGGTGCTACTATACTGCATATGTGCTCTGAAAGTGCAAGTGCATTAAGGGTAGCTAGGTTAACAGGCAACTTTATTCTCTGTTTACTTTATTCAGGGAGTATCCAATTTTTGATTGATATTTTCAGATGGAGGACATCGCTGATACTCGCGATCCTGGAGAGAAACTCATCTCAAAACAAGAAAACACCAATAAAGGTGCGAACATAAATTTTTCTTTCCTTCTTTGTTGTTTGCAACAGCACAAAGAAAAGCTAGGGACGCAAAATATTTGAAAAGTTATCTTTTCACTTTCATCTTTTCAAGGGAAATTGGTTGACGAGGAAGAAGACTATGGATTGGCGGCGATGTCATTTTCCATCTACAAGTGCGTTTTTACTAATAACTTTCTAAACAATCTTTTTACCAAATTGAAATTTTCCCTAACAACCTTGATCTACTGAATTTATAGAAGCTATGCTCGTGCAGCTGGCGGACTTATTATCTGGATATTGCTTTTTATCGCCTTCATGCTTAACGTATCTGCCTCAATATTTTCCACGTTCTGGCTATCACGTTGGTTAAAAACCGGCCATGGAGAAGAGGTATACACAGTGCTTATGCAGATTTAGCTGCAGAGATCATAGCTTAGTCTTTAGCTAGTCGAGGTGAACGGCAGTGTTCGTCTACATTCAGAAGGTAGTCTGGCCGACAGCCCTGATACGCCATTTTACTCAACTGTGTACGGCATCTCACTCGTGATCCTTTTCGTTTCTGGTCTCATCAAAGCCATGATTTTTGTGAAGGTGAATTTTCCTTGTACATACTTAAACCCACTTACCTGATTGCATACTTTTGCTTTTTTTTTCGGAAGATTATGTTTTACATATGTAATGATGTTTTGAAAAAAATGGATCGCGTACTCTATCGATATATCGTTTGTACCCCAAAGAGGTTCCCATAGGTATTGGCAGCGAATGCACACCCAATTCGCTACTTTTCACTCGTTTCAACATGGCAGCTTCGGATAAGCGCTTTGTATTGTAGCAGTTAACGTCGTAGCTGCGAAAGGCAGTGGTGAGGAAGACTTTCCTGAATGCAGTTTCAAGCAGTTTCAACACTTATTTAAAGTAGCTACACTATTTGTGTGTCCCTTCACAGACTGGAGAAATCAACGTTTAGCAGGCGTTGTATTGAGATACTGCTGAAATGCTGCATCACTCATTGTTGATTCATGACTAATCTTTCCCTCTCTATCCCACTCTTTGCTTGCGCAGCAAATAACATTGTATTTTTAATGTCTATCTCGCAATCCTTCAACTGTGTTGATGTCAAGATTAAAAGTAATTATGGTAATCTCAGTAGGCTAATATCCTTATGTTATGGTTTGTCCCCAAAAAGTACCCATAGGTATACCACGTCAGGAGGGGCAACCAACATGAGCGGTGCTTGTGCCAGCCGTATGCGTTACATAGGTCAAATTTCTCTCGAATTCTTTTTCACTATAATCACAGCTAAAAATTTGTAAAAAACGCAGGGAACTCAGTAGGCTGTCATTTTTCAATCTTCAACACCATTTTCAATCCAGCAAAAAACATAGTGCTCTCCAAATAGAACGACTTTGTGATCGACTTCTTGACAACCGCATAAGTACTGTGTGCTCATGGGAACATGTCTGGGGGGCAGACGATATTTCCCGAAAAGTTACAAGTTGCTGCAAAAGCTGTCATTCAGCTCAAACTAAATTGTTTAGCGCTGGGAGTTGATGAGATAGTATTTTCCATAAGGTTGCATCATCACATATCATTTTTTTTGAGTTTACGTTTCCAGCATCATTGCAGGTGTCGCTCAATGCTGCAAGTCGTCTTCACAACAACATGTTTTCGTCTGTAGTACGTGGTACCGTTGGCTTCTTCGACGCCACCCCTACTGGGCGAATTCTGAATCGATTTTCGAAAGACATGGACGAAAGTCAGTGTTTGTTTGTTGTGTAAGGCTTGACACATACCTAGCGTCGGGTGTCTATACGTAGCGGTGGCAGCAATGCGATTTGTGCGTATTGATTGCAGCGGAGTGACGCTGCTGCCTCCGCTGCAGCAGCTAACATGGAAGGTCATGTCCATACCTAGCGAGTCATTTTTGAGCAGCGCTGCGCAGCGCTGCTCAAGCTGATCAGCGCTGCAACGAGATTTGCAGCTGAGTTACGCTCACTTTTTCTGAGCGTATCTCAGCTGCTGTGAGCTGCAAACAGCTGTTTTGGCTCGAAATTGCCTATTTTTAGCATTTTTCAAGCTGTAACTAGCGTTCTGAAAACAGAGTCTGTCTTTATATTGCGTGAGCAGGTCATGAATGCAATCTAATACCGTTTAATTGCGGTTTCAGAGGATACGGGGAATTATTGAGACGCACTGGAAGGGCATACTTAATGAACTTGAAGAGAAATGTAGTATCAATTACCTGACTACACATTGGCAATTTAAAAAGCTGACAGCGTAATCAGATAAAGTTTCGCCTCCAATCTTCAATCATGTCATTGCCTGAGGGACAGTTTCATTCTAATGGGACAGCCATTGCCTTGTCTGGGGTCGAATGGAATGAATACACTTGAGTTGCTCTTTTGAGTTTGCTCGTATGAGCTACCTTTCTATTGTAAATTTAATGATGAAAAATGAGAAATGAAGAACTTCTCATGAAAGTATGGACCGATCCAACTTAAAATATGCTAATTCTCTTCTTTTTGACATAATAAAATTCGACATAGCGCAGTTATTTTTGATGGTTTCTGCACTCAACATGCACTCAAGAAGCAGCCGAGTGCAGCGCTGATCAGCCGGAGCAGCGCTGCCTTCGCTGCTCGCTGGTTTTGTCCATACCTAAGCAGCGAGGTATGTATCAAGCCTAAAGCAACAAATTTTTTGAGTATTTGTGAATTTGGAATTTTTCCAGTCAGTTTGCCTAAGCCGTTGTTTTTTTTTTAGTTGATGTAAAATTGCCGTTTACTGCCGAAGTGTTCCTGCAGAATATGATAACCTGCGTCGGATTTTTGCTCGTTATCGCTTGGGTGTTTCCAGCCTTTCTCATAGCCTGTATTCCTCTATTCGCTGTCTTCCTGCTTTTTGTCATGTGCTTCCGAGCTGGAATAAGAAGGTTGTTGGTTTGGACTTTCGAACTGGAACACTTTCGAATCATTTTTTATAGCTTGAAGCGTTCTGAAAATATATCCCGCTCACCGCTTTTTGACCATATCACGACTACTATTGAAGGGCTAGCTTGTATTCATTCATATGGGCAGTCACCCCGTTTTTTGGAACTTCTTAAGCAGAAGTTGGATGCGAATAGGTGAGTTCCCAGAGCATTGAAAGTAAATCTAAACTTCGAGCTAGATCTCAATGTTGCTAGCCTCAACCTAGTCATATCTAATTGCTGCATTTTAGCGGTGCGGTATTCATGTTCCAGTCAGCTATGCGATGGTTGGCGGTATGGTTGGACCTGCTTGTCGTAATAATCACCTCTATAGTCGCATTTTTCATAGTCATACTAACAGGAACGCTGTCACCAGCAGATGCTGGTATGGCTTTGGCATTAGCTGTGCAGGTCTGTTTTCGTCACTCTGGTCATAACATTGGCTGATTCATTTTTTCTGCAGATGAGCGGTATATTCCAATTTGCCGTACGTACACAGACGGAATTGGAAGCGAAAATGACATCCGTTGAACGCGTTGTCTACTATTCGGAGGTGACTTGGTATTTCGTGCTCGACTTGTAATTCATAACCTTTTAGAACATCCAATCGGAAGGAGATTGGGAAACGAAGAAGGGAATTGATGTACCGAAGGAATGGCCGCAAAATGGGCAGATCGACTTCCAGAGTGTGAAGTTTGTTTTAAATATTCTCTAATTTAGCTTTGTTCCCGATTAATCACCAATATCAAGTTGAGAGGGAGGGAATTTGCATGAATTATATGTATTTTTCAATGTAATTTTTGCAACCAGCTGTAAGGCTCAACTCTTGCATATCAAATATCTTTTGGTGCAGAAATTTCAGTCTTAGTCGCTTTTTCTCCCTCTCTCATAATTTGAGATTCTTCCCCCTAAAACAGTCACAATTCAGACTTCGCTATCGGCCGAAGTTTCCTCTAGCCTTGAATGATGTCACATTTGAGATCAAACCTAGAGAAAAAATTGGAGTCATTGGCAGAACAGGCTCAGGTGGGCTTAGTTTGATGGAAGCAAAATGTGACTTTTGTGACTTTTTTTGTTATCAGGGAAGTCATCGTTGGCCAATGTTCTGTATCGGCTGTATCCGCTCACATGGGGTAGAATATTCATCGACGGCGTAGATATCGCCACGATTGGTCTGCACAGGTTGAGAAGGTAAGTGTTCAATTTTGTCAAATCCTATGTGAAAACTCAGATTGGCTTTCTTTACGGTACATCCAATTGTAGGGCTATGTCGTTCATTCCACAAGATCCTGTGCTTTTTGCGGGAACCATCCGTTCTAATCTTGATTCTAACAACTTCTTCACCGATTCTGAGCTATGGAGCGCTTTGGAAAAAACGTACCTGAAGTCCCTGGTTAGTTTTACGTCACGCTATAATTTCATCGGAGCATGTCAGATTTCTTCATCATAATAGGTAGGATCAAATAATCTGTAGCTTATGTACTATTCTAATCTCGTTTTTGATATAATTGTTGGATCTTTTGACGTAGATTAAGTGATAACATAATTTTAAGAAGTTACAATCCTTGACTGGTTCGCTCATATTACATGGCTATTTGAGAAATTAAAGTCGCCTTTTCAAGATCGCTAATCTGGACAAGAAGCTTGAATCCGACGTCACAGCTGGTGGCGAGAATTTTTCAGTTGGAGAGCGTCAACTTCTATGCTTGACCAAGGCATTGCTGATGTAATTTGGGATTATGTCATCAGATTGCCTAACTTTCTATCTCGCTTTTGTTTAGGAACGCCAAAATTGTGATTTTGGATGAAGCTACGGCAAGTTTGGATATGTCAACAGATAAGCTCATTCAGAAGGTAGTGCCAATTTGTTCTGGTCAGACACCTTTTAGACACGTCATTTAGGTAATTAGAGAAGTATTCAAAGACGCTACTATCATCCTCATTGCTCATCGTCTCGAAAATGTCTATGGCCTAGATAGAGTTTTGATGATGGATGGAGGGAAAGTGAGTCTGTTTCTGGTGCTTTGTTGCTTTTCAGAAAAATTATGATGTGCTTGTTGTTTTTTGAAAAACCACGATATGGTTATTTTTTTTAGTATGGAGTAGCTCGGTTTGCGCATTGGTGTTTGGTATTCAAGTTAAAACCACTTTTTTACTCCAAGTGTTGGTACAGAACTGATCAATCGCGGAATCGGGTGCACCAGCGTCATCGCTCCCGCGCGGCGGCCTCGCCTGGACTCTGCTCCCCTTTCGCGAACATGTGCTTTTATCACTTTCCCACCACGCACCGAGCATGGAAAAGGCGAGGTTTCAACCGCCAATAAGCTTGCGAAAATGATTAGATTAGCATGATCTCGAAAGAGGCGCAGAGTCTGGGCGAGGCAGCCACGCGGGAGCGGAAATGCTGGTGCACCCGACTCTGCAATTGATAGTTCCTTACACATGTTTTTGGAGTGTTTGTGAAATAGACTCGTTCTTTATTTCGCTTGTGCGCAGCCAAATTTCGTAGCGCTTAGCTGAGCATCATGTCTGGGACATGGTCAAAAAAGTGGTATACCTGGTAGATTCGCTTTTGCTTATGTCTTCAAAAATTCTATGTCACCAAGCTTTTAGGTCGTGGAGTTTGATCGTCCGGAAGTACTCCTAAATAAGACTGCGTCGGAGCTTCGTGTGCTTGTTAGGCAGACAGCAGGTGCCGACGAGATATTCGTCGAGTCAGAAGGTGCTGGAAGTGAGAGCTCACCTGAAATCATGGATAGACGGGAAATCAATGATAGCGAAAGTGTTCCGGAAATTGTTAACAAGGACGTTTCGCCCGACACAGAAAGTATACCCGAAATGTTAGAGAAACAAGCGAGCGACGAAGAAGATGACAGTGTAGAGATATTGGATCGGCCAACAAATCAGTCTAGTCTGGAGGACGATGACATGGAGGTGGTGCCGAAACCAAATCCGTGACACCATCGCAAAGAATAGCTCGCTCTAATCAAATCGACTTGCTAAGAACTTAGAAGGATCGAGTTCAGTCTTAGGCTTGTTTTGGAATAGCTGCTTTTTGCCGCTGATTTCTGCCCCAGAGGGCTCTTCCTCACTCGCGCTCTCTCATGTTCTGGTCCGTTTCTGATTTTTGCGTATGTATCGAGTTATTGGCTTTGTTATTATTGCTTGAATACTATATGAGCCCAACATTCCATGAACGTATATCTTGGTGGTTAAGATTACCGCTGTAATTGTTTCCAAAATAGCGACAAACAGATATCTTAGACGTGTGTCCATAAAAACCGGTACTGTTCGCAAATATGCCTCTTAGGTTAATCCAAATGACTTATCCTTTGTTCTCCTGTGCTTCATGAGATTATGTACCATTTGTTCTTGCTCCCAGTTTGCAATCATTGTTTCGCACTTTACCCCACGTGTCACCTGCTTGCTCTGCTTAGATTGAAATATTCTGGAAGCAGGCATCACCATCTAGGTGGTAAGCATCTCGTTACGATGTATTGTTGTGTGTTTGTGCTATTTCACCCATGCTTCTTGGCATTCAGGACTTGTATATAATAAATAATTGGTTGATTATATAGTACCATGTTGCATAGGTTTCTTGGTACAGTGATCACTATAGATGTCATATACTCCAGCTAATTACGCTTCCCTGTGTGCCTCATAAAACATTCATCACCTCAAAGGCAATCTTCGGATTTATCTGGAATTTTATCAAATTTCGATATTAAGGCTGCTCAGTAGTTCCAGGCATTATCTATGCTACCCCGATTAGTATTTAGTCTGAAAATAGGCATCAGAAAATAAGCATATGGCTTGGTCGGCCCTCCATTGTGGGGCCTCTGAATGGAAAAAAAGGACTTGGACCGCGAGAATGCTATCAAGCCACGCCTTATCAAGCTTCGCCCAGACTGGAAGGTCCACGCCTTCTGGACACGGTACCAGAGCTTAGGTTTTTGGGAGTTTTACACATTTTGCACTTCATAACTGTAATTAAGGCCACGGATAGGCCTCAGAATGATAAGAACATGGAAGTCTAAATTTCGCGTGGAAACTGCCTTTGAGTTTATATTTGAATCAGAGCAGGTAGAGTGACATTTATGTAGCTCAGGATACTTGCGATGGAATGTGAAATCTTGATTCCTGCCTTGTGCGAAAGGTTCAGGCTATAGTTACACTCTCTCAGCTACTTCATTCATCAGATGGACGCATATGAGATTTCGAAGAGACCATTCTTCATATCCTCGCGCCGCAAGCAATAGTTATTTGTCTGCTGAAGGAGCATAGGTCAATATGCACACTTCCAAATTACGAATTTTGCCGCTACTTGGACCGTTGCGATTATTTTGGGGATGAAGCGGAAGAAAATTGTAATTGATAACATGTTTGATAGTAAGAAATTTGAGAAGTCATAATAGTTTTGTAAGCACAGGCCAGCGTTGTCTCAGATTTTTACTATGAGGGTCAGTTTCTTGTAAACAGTGTGCAGGAGCGATCTGTGTCCTATCCTGAAAGGCGTGTTTACGAGGGGAGAAGGAAACTTGCACTCTTCTTTCTCCATAATTCTACCAATAATTTCGCTCATCATGAGTTTATCTTCAATCACTAGTGGATTTCGAGTTTTTCCCCGTCAACAGAATTTTGTTGAATGCTAAGAGATCAGAGATGCGGCAAATTATTTCTTGCATTAACTCGGTTTTGCGATTAAAGCTTGTCAGTGCCATTTTACTAGCGACGTGGTCTAGTGATAGCGATTACGTGTTAGGAACCACTGACCACACGATCATTTCTTATTCAGTTGTCAGGACCGAGAACGGTGTTGGCTAGAAAATGGGGAGAATGCAACATAGAGTAGAGATTTGAGATATAAAATAAGTTGTGTTTATGATTACTTACTAACCGATGCGAGCTCATTTGCCGGAAAACTAAGCATGTTCAGGAAGTTTCACATCTAATTTTGTATAGCGAATGAAATCAGGGACTTCTACAGTCATGAAAACGTTTCGAAAGGGGCAAACCAGAGACTTCTACCAATGGCGGCGAATGGCAAAGTTAGTACTCTATTGAGAATGTTTACAGTTGCAGAACAATCAAGAATGAATCAGCGAGCAGCTCATTGATTTGTAGACAATGCCTTGTATGTTACCAGCTAAGCTGAATTCCGAGTATTTTTAATTTGCAAATGTTTGGTAGCATGCTATGTTTGATATTGTACTCGAACCATCAGTCACCATTGCTATTTTGTGATTCAGTCACATCTATGCGTCACATTGTATGCCACAAAGCTGTTAATGTGGGAATTACTGCATGACAGGTACTGACGGCAGCGTCGAAGCTACAAGCGGGCGGGCCTCCTTCATCGCTGTGGACATACAGTTGTAGCAGCAGTGGGTAACCAGTGTAAAGAAGCGGATCAAGTTGCATGATGGAACTAGCAAAGTAAGAGTCTCAAGATTGATTAACACGTTGACGACCTTATGCATACGCACGTATGCACGCCCTGACTCCCGTTTAGCATTTTCGTGCATCCGCGCACATGCACGCTAGTTTTTTGGGTGTAAACGAAAAGTTTTAAGGTAACTTTTACGCAGTAATACTGTTGGTGGCCTGATTGTCTTACAGAACACAGGGCATTGCGGCAGCTGTTTAGAAGTTTTGGCCGCAAATTTGGGTAGTATGTCCGTTTTTGATGTGGTAAATACATGTCAATTACGTTTTTCCGATAAGGTGGAAACTCTGTATAGCGGTTTTGGAAGCAAACAAGGATGGATCAGGCAAAAAACCTGTTATCACAATGCTTTTCTCAAAAAAGGATTGCTCAGGTATAGCCACTGCACGGTTTATTGGAGGAAAAATCGAGGCAAAAACCTTGATTTGTGTAAGTTCTAATAAGACTCTGTGATATACATGTTTCTCTAGACATAGTTTGCATGTTTTATGAATAAGCGTCAAAAAGACTCCCACATAATGTTTTCGTGCATACGCGCGTATGCACGGGCCAAATGCGCGAAGGACGTTAGTGTGAGTTTCGCCCAAAATGGCGCGATCGTCAACGTGTTAAAGGTAGCTTACACCTAAAATTTCGCCTTCGAGGTTTTTGTCATTCTGAGGACTTTCCGTGCCCCTGATTACAGTTATTACATTAAAATTCTCCAAAACCCTCAAAAAATCCCAATTGGGACCATCTTTTCAAAAGGAGGACGAGTTTCGAATTGCTCGATCCCGTCGGCATGCCAGCGTGAAGCAGCTACAACTGCATGACAGCCTGCAGTTGCAACTGCAACTGCAGCGTATGCTGTCGTGGATTCGTCATCTGAAGGAAGCGGATCGCAAAAAGCAACTGCCTGTTGCAACAGCATTGCAACAGCAACTGCAACGGCAACTGCAGCTTACGTTAACGTGGTTTTCGTCCTAAGGAGGCGGAGTGAAAGGAAAGGGGTGGATTGAAGAAAATCAGACGGGTTTTCTCCGAAGCAACATTGGGAGACCAGACCAACGAAGTTAATCTTCTTCTGGGCCCTAGATATACACGGTATAGAGAACTGGGTAACTTAGATTTTGGGTGTATGCTGCCTTTAACCAAAGCTTTATATAAGAATGTCGAATTGGTGGAAACACGCACATTAAGTAAATGTCAGACCTTTGCAATATCAATCTCAAGTCCTTTGCTTCCCCTGCAATATTGCTAAAATCAAAGTGGGCGAACATTGATTCCAACCACCTGCTGGAGGCTTGTGAAGAACACTTGCGGTTCTTCTCCTACCGGTAGTCATTCATTTCTTTTGTGAAGCAGCAACGGCAACAACAACTATCGGTGGAAATGCAGTGAAAATATTGGGTTGGTGCAAAAGTATTGAACGTTTCTTATTATGCCGCGGCAGAGAAGTTACAAAAATATATGAAATATCACTCGATAGATAGCAAGCTCCCAGGCCGCATTTCAACAATAGCAAAGAGTTCGAACCACGTGCAGTTCGGAAGAAAATTTGATTTTACCCAAAAATCAGAACCCTGTTTGAAAACCTTCCGCACCTCTATCTTCGAGGCAAAAACTCCTCATACCACAGATTTCTTACATTTCTTGTATTTTTATGCCGCCTTATTTGGGCTTCACTGTGATTCTGGCATCTTTCGCTAACCATTATCTGTAGAAGGCTGAGAAATTCAGTACTATTGTTCCAAAGGTTTTAACTACAGAAATACTCACGTCGGAAGACTCCAACATCGCTTTTGCCAAAGCATGCTAATTTTCATTTCCTATTTGATATCCTCGGAAAAACGCATCAAGTGCACAAATGAACAGCTGTTGCTATAGTTGCTATTATACTTGGATAATTCGAGAATTTTTCATCGAATGAATGAATATCGAATAAATTCGAAAAGGAAAAATTTCGAATGAATGAATTTCGAATAAATCCGGAAAATCAAAAATATCGAATGAATGAATTTCGAATAAATTCGGAAAATCAAAAATATCGAATGAATGAATTTCGAATAAATTCGGAAAATCAAAAATATCGAATGAATGAATATCGAATATATTCGAACATTGGAAGTCGAATTTCGAATGAATATTCGAATGATTTATCGAATAACTAAAGCAATCACATCTCAAACTTGCCGACATATCTGGCTAGAGCCGATCCAATCATAATCAGCCCCTAGCATCCCCAATACCAACTCCTAGCTCAAAATTTTCCAAAAATTACTGAAATCGACAAAATGGATTTCGTTTTTAATCAGCATATTCACTTACCCCCTGTACCAAGTCCCAAGCTCGTAGCTCGAGATTTTCCAAAAATCGATAAAACTTATACAGTAAATTTTTATCCATAATCAGCACCCTCACTAACCCCCTTGTACCAACTCTCAGCCCCGCAGCTCAAACATCCCCAAAAATCGATAAAGTCAGTCGGTCGGCATCTAGTCTGTACATCAGCAAAATTCATATTTTACCCCTTATGGACGATCTAAAAAGCAGTCGATATAAATTTTTATAGTGCCCAAAAGATTCTTCTACAGATGGTCTGAAAGAGACTGTACACTAGAATTAACTTTATTTCTTATCAGCATCAACAATGTAAAAGCAAAGGGCTTGCTCTACTTTCTACATCAATTAAAATCCACATGTGATTTTTTTACGACTCTCCATACAGTTCAAAGGTATAACGGTTGCAAAAGATGCATTACCGAGTTCTGCGAAATAAAACGCGGACGAAGTGAGCTTGATACTCAGCAGTTGGCTCTGCAACAAAGTCGAATAATCTGCATACGGAGTCATTCGAATACGAATTCGAATAAACATTCGAATAAAACATTCGAATAAAATCTATTCGAAACCCCGTTTTTTGATTATTCGACTTTTCGAATAATATTCGAAACCTCGTTTTTTGATTATTCGAGTTTTCGAATAATATTCGAAACCTCGTTTTTTGAATATTCGAGTTTTCGAATTTTATTCGAAACCCTGTTTTTTGATTATTCGAGTTTCGAATATTATTCGAAAATGGAAGAACTCCGAATATCGAATTTCGAATACGAATATATTCGAATGTTTTATTCGAATGATCG